ATATTTTAGAGAAAAATGAAAGAAAACTTGAAAACATTACCTAAAAGGATTCTACATAAAATAGAATCATTATCAAGTGGCTAAATACCTATCTTACTGATCCAACAATCAAAGATAAGAGGGTGACGATGAGTTTATAGAGCTACCGTGATCATGACATCAGAATTGCTTTATATGTACCAAACAGTAGAAAAAAACAAATAGTACAGACTTTCAATGATCCCTCACTAAAAAAATCAATTTTACAGGCAAAATCATGAGATCGAGAGTGATGCATCCTAAATATAGACACAAGTCCAAGTATTCACTGGTATTCCATAGTCACTTCAAGATTTAGTGCGTCGACATAGTCTCAAATAACAGTTATCATTCTTGAATGTCAAAGTACGGATTATTGCGAACACATCAACAACATTGCAATCAAATTTCGTTCAAAAAAATCGAGAAAAATCATTCTTCGAAAATTAACGGAGGATCATGTGTCCAGCAAATATCAAAACTAACCAAAATGACTTGGAAAGGTCTTTGGTGGGTCATGCATATCCCTATTCTTCACTGCCTGTACATTGTATAGATTATTGTATAATGGATCCTTGGAAAACATATAGTATTTATATTTTAATAAAAATAACCAAATCGACTATTTGAAAGCTAAATACTAAGTCATACGTCTAAGAAACGAGTCCTGCCAATAATTACTAGAAAAAAATTTAGTACTAGCTTGAGTCATAAGTGACAGAAAAGAAGATTCTAAAGATACTTGATGATGATTAAGACTAGCTCCAATCAAAACGGGTCTTATTCGATTTTGAACTTGCAAAAAGTTTCGGATATAACTCACCCTCATACCCTCATCCTCCCTTGATTGGTGAGGGTATAAACTTTATGCTGTTAGAAAAGCAGATGCTAATGCAAAAAATTATATAGATCAAAATTTACCGATTATTAACACAAGCGGCATCATGTACGATACAGTTACTAGAGCTAGAAGTCATCGATATAAGATTGAAAGAATTTGCTCGTCTTCATCATATTTATCTGTTGAGAACAATCCGTGATGAAAAGCACAATCTAAAAGATTTTATTTATGAAAGACGCTTACTACATCAAGTGCCTTCGTGGTTGTGTGGGTGTGGGTGAGGATTCTCTTTATATTATATCACACCCACACCCACACCCACACCCACACCCACACCTACACCCACACTCACACCCACACCCACACCCACACCCGCACCCACACCCCACATCCACATCCACACCCACACCACACCCACACCCACACCCACACCCACACCCTCCAACCCAAAACATTTTTAATTTATCTGAAATAAAAAATAAATTGATTAAGTATTAACTTTTCTTTAAAACCAATATAGATGTTCAAGAACATTTTCTTATTAAAATTCCTATTGAATAAGTTATTTCGTTGTGGTTTTGATCAGATAAGAGCTTTTTTCAAAGAAACATAGAATCCGAATTTTATCCACGGGTCAAAAAAAAGTGGCGAAGTAACAACAAATAATCCAATGGTTCGTAACCATCCAAAAAATGTTGGTGTTGATTGAGTCGTTTTTTTCCTTCGATTCCAAAGAATCTCCATTGTCACGAAGAGTCCATGTAGTAGAAAAAAGATCATGTTCTTGCCCGACCATCGATCTGTGCACATGGTGAAAATCAGTTCATGGAGAATACCGGATAAGACAAAAGATAGCAGACCACGTGTGGTATTACTCATTGTTTGATTCACTCCAAGGCAATGTGGTAGAATAATAAAGGATGTCCGCTGCAACAATTGTTTAACAAAGACATTCCAACGATGAGACCAAAACTCCCGAATACTGCATGAAGTGAATGGAAAGGCGGGAAAAGTCGAATTCATCGGTGTTCCCCATATAAGACCACTGACGCCGAATATGGTATTGGTCTCCACGCCAATCAGATTATAGAGAATAAAAGAGAGTAAGAGATAACGAATTGGCCAAATCAGAGGTGCAAGTGACGACATAGGAAGAGATAACCATGCCTCAGGAGTAACGTGCATGAGTATTCGAAGAATGACGAATTGACCAAATGCTCTGAGAAGCATCATAATATTGTCACGATAAATATGTATCATGTTCACAGGCGTTTTTTTCTCCGTGGACGAGTTCCATTGAGGATAGCTTGAACAGTCTATTGCTACTTGCTTTACTGTTATTGTTCGTAGGTCATTCCAATCATGAGCAAATCCCCATTCGAGAAATTTAAGCGCGAAAAGGAGACTTGCAATAGCACTCATATAGAGTACACGCAAATCAGCCAAAGGCCATGGCGAATACCATTTCAAAAACGATGGCAGAAAAAGAATGCCCAGAGAAAAACTTACACAAATGCCGTGAAACAAACGCATAGAATTTAAGCGTTGACTTGTCCAGAGACCGAGAACGAAGATGAACACAATTCCGGCATAGAGGAACCAAAGACCAACACAGTTGATTTCAATCATTATACTTCACGAAAATGCGTTATCCAAGCACTGCCTCTTAACTTATACCAGTGATAAGGACGTAAAAGAAGTAAGTCCATGTTGATAAAGGGTCACAAGAACGATTAACGAACAGTGTATCTTACATCTTGATTCACAACTCTGATAAAGGTTTGTGTTTCTTGTTACTATTCTCATCATTTAAAATCAATAGTAACTGTAGCTTTCAATGAACCGTTTTAGTGTTCCAATGCCTCACATAAAACATATACGCATGGATTATTAAAAACAGTCGATTGGTTTTTTTATAATTCCGGTGCAATCGTCTAAAATTGACACTGAAAGATAGCTGATAGTATTTTTACATATCATTCAATACGGAATTAAACAGGCTATATTTTGGTCAGAATTAGCTTTGAAAAGTCATTGAATCTGATGTCCAAGTGCTAAAAAAGGTTGTTGTCAGGGTGCACGTGTTCCATCATTCGATTAAGATTTGCCGTCGATCAGATTGCATTACTTTGGAAGATTCACAGCGTCCGAAACGGCATGGTTTCATGTCGAATTTAGGCTGAAAATGATCCATAAGATCTGAAACAATTAGTGTATATACATACGATTCGATGCTTCTCAATGAGCTGATCCCGAATATCACCTGAGTTTTTCCTGGATGCACTGAGGAGCTGATCAAAATCCGATTTTTCGTTAGAATTCTGAGGGTATTGGCATCCGCGAAACTATCCTAAGACAGGTTGCATAACTAGGCGCTGCTGTCGTTATTAGCATACATATGTAGAATAAGTCGAATCGAGCCGAGTTTTTCTAGACCGAGTTTGGTTCGGTTCGGATTCACTTTTGAATGTTACGACAGATGGGTGAGGGTGTGGGTGTGGTTGAAAAGAAAAGAAACACCCAGACCCAGACTCACTTCCACATCCACATGCACACCCACACCCACACCCCGTCTACATTTCTTCTGCTTCGTTTCTATTTTCTTTTGTTTTTGTCATGATTATCATTTCCATCATGTGTGCACAGTGGTGGTGGACAGCAAAGTATTTGAAACCTTCATTTTGCCCATTATCTCTGTTATCTCTCTCCTTGTATATATGTCTTCGTTTCAGATAAGGACTTAAGAAGACATTGGTATCGTTTTACATAAGTTTTATTCGAAAAAATAAAGTGCTCTATTTCAAATGGCTGCTGTATCGACTTTTATATTGAACGAACGATTTTGGTTGCCGAAAATTACGACTTGGAAAGATTTTACTCAACTCAAGCAAGAAGGAAATACCAATCTACCGTCTCCAAAAGATCTTATCTATGTTTTTCCATTGACCGGTGTAGTTTATTTAATAGAGATGCTTTTCGAGCGGTAAAAAATAGAAAAGAACAGGGATGGATTTGTTAGCAAAATCGAGGGTGTGGGTGTGGGTGTGTGGGTTTGGATGTGGGTGTGGGTGAGGGTGTGGGTGTGTGGGTTTGGATGTGAGTGTGGGTGTGGGTGGGATATAGGTGTCGGCCTTGTGTNAATTTTACTGACAATGGAGGTGTTTGTATTGTCCGTCGAAAAAGTGGCACATGTTCGAGTCAAATAAAAGCTCTCAACGTCAAACTAATAAGGTTAAAATGTTAGCGGCCCTTGGCTTGCCTAGAGGGAGATATTTAGAATTTAGGCTTAGGTATAAAAATGAACGAGGAAAGGTTTTTTCCACTATTATAAGGACAAAACATAGTGTTGTTCGGGCCGATTATAGGGTTTGTTGGGTCTCTCTTTTATATGGCCCGAACAACATCATGTTTTATCCTTATAATAGCGGAGTGAATTTTCTTAGTGGTTGATAGAAAAAAAGCTGTTTCCATGAGTTACGGGAAAGATTCACCCTACTATTCTAAGGACAGAACAAAGTGTTGGTCGGGTCATATGAAAGAGGGACCCCACANCTTTCCTCGTTCATTTTTATACCTAAGCTTAAATTCTAAATATCTCCCTCTAGGCAAGCCAAGGGCCGCTAACATTTTAACCTTATTAGTTTGACGTTGAGAGCTTTTATTTGACTCGAACATGTGCCACTTTTTCGACGGACAATACAAACACCTCCATTGTCAGTAAAATTTCGATATCTCAAGAATGGAAATCAGAAAAATCAAACTATTCTACATTTTTCTATTACTCACTAGTATTTATTCAGTGAACATCGTTTCGATCGAAAATTGATTTGATACCTGCAGAAGTTTTCCTCGTTAGTAAAATAAAATATAAGAATAGAAAAAAAAATTCACATTCATATTAATAAATCAATTGTTGTCTAAATTGAACAACTAAAATAAAAATAGAAACAATAAAAGATTGTTATCTCATCAATAGAGGTATAATGTTTTATAAAGAAGAAAAAAAAAACAAATATTTAACTAAGCAATGTATTCATATTAAAAAAAAATGCAAGTATGCTTTGTCTTCTTTTCTCTTTTTTAAATAAAAATTTTAAAATACCAAGGAAATGAATTCAAAATAATTCTTATTGATTGAAAACTATACTCTAATAACATCATCATCATCAATAGGCCAATTAACATCTTTTAAATCATCAGAATCCTTGAATAAATGTAATTCTTCTTTTGGTGTATTTCGACGTTTAATTTCAGTTTCTCTTCTTTGACTATCATTTTCATGTCTATCATCTTTAACAGATGATGTTTCAGATTTAACTTTTGATGCTCTTCTTGCTTTGTTCAAATCTTTTACAGCTATCGAATGTTTTCGTTCATCCATATGTTTGGATCGAATTATTAGATACAAAATTATAGACCATAAACCTTCTAATCCATTAAAAATAATAAAAATCCATCCTAAAACTTGTGCTGCTTCTGGAGTAGCTATTGTCAAAAATGGACCAAAAAGCCAACCAATACCTTGAGTTGCACATGATGAAAGTATAATAACTACACATTGTTTCATTCGTTTATATGAATTATGATGTGCTGCTGTGGCATTTCGAGCATGATTCAGTATACGGGAAGCTACAAGAATAAATGTAATTATATTGATTAAAAGAAACAGACAAACAGGTATAGTCAGAAAATAATAAATAACATCACGAGTAAACCAACAAAGTTTATATGGATATAATTGAGTAATTTGAAATGATGAATTTGAATTAAATCCAGCTGCAAAAGACACCCATGCAATGGAAATAAAAAATGATGCACTAAGCATAACAAATAGTTTTCGAAGTGATGGTTCGGGAAATAAAAGAACAAAACGAAGATAATTAAAGTATCCAACACTAGTCTTAGTGCAAAACATAAATATTAAAAAGAAATAAACGAAAAACATTAATACACTTGAACTTAAAAAACATCGATTTTCATTTATAGATGATGTTTTAGTATAAGTTGTCATTCCTAAGGCTATATAAAAAATAAATAGAATTGTTGTACTTGCAGAAGATATTAACGGAAATAAATCATATGCTCTAAAACTCATTAATGGATTATAAATTCGTTTAATAGTAGCATCAATAATAATAGCTAAAAAGCAAACAATTGATATTGATAGACAAACAAGTGAACCAATATCTTGTGCATCGAGATAGGAAGTAAGTGGTACTCTGGGTAACCAAATAAGAGCAAAAGATGTAAAATGATTACAAGTACATTCATAACGATGAAATAAACTATTATATTGAGGTGCAGTACAACCAGATTCATTCCATGTTGAATTATTTGTATCATAAAATGAACAAAAATATTCGACACTACCAGTTGGTTGATATTCCTGTAAAACTTGAAAATAAAGAGAAATATTCCCTGATGTTAATAAAGAATCATTTCTTCGTACGGCTACAACAGCAACTGATGATGCAAGGGTTTTATTAGTTAAATTATCTAACTTTTCATATGTAGTTGGTTTATTAATAATAAGCATATTCAGAGATACAACTCCACTTAACGACTTATCGCTAATAATTGCTGCTGTTGAGAAATTTGAATTGGTAGCATTGTCTATATTTTTAGTATTAATCACCTGACCACCAATACCACGATTAAATGAAGCACCTAAAATAATTACATTACCTTCTTGATACGGTGATTGTGCCACAAGGATTGAATCATCAGTATTTAATGTTAAATTGACGTTTGTGATATTGCTAAGATAGGTATCAATATCATTCGGAGTAAGTGTATATGTCGAATTTAATGATGCATTTGAATTCGTTATTGAACTTATATATAATGAAAGAGAATTAGCAATAACAGTTGAATTTGTGGTATTTCGCAACGTGTTCACTGACGATATCTAAACCAATTAAACACAAAATAAAAATAAAAAATAGAATTCTTTTAAACAGACTTGACCGTCAGATTTCGATATGCAAGTACCATTGGATAATTGTACTTGAGTAGAACTATCACACTGAACCATATACGGTGACCAAACCAGAGCAAAAGTAGACAAATGATTACAACTACATTCATAACGATTAAATGAAGCATTATATTGAGGTGTAGTACAACCAGATTCATTCCATTTTGTAGCATTTATATTATAATATGTGCATAAATATCTTGAAGTAACAGACGGTCTATATTCATGCAGAACTTGAAAATATAGTGAAATATTCACTGGATTTGATATAGAACTATTTCCTTTTGTGGCTACGGAAATGACTGATGATGCAAGAGATATATTACGCAAAGTATCTATATTTTCATATGTAGTAGGCTCATTAATGATCAACATATTAAGGGATCTAACATTAACTAATGATTCATTAGTGAGAAAAGCTGCAGCTGTTAGATTTGAATTAAGTGCATCAAGACGATTGGAAATACTTAACAATCTACCACCAATACCACGTGTGAATGCAGCACCTGCAGCACTTGCATTTCCAAATTGATTTGGCTCTTGAACCATGATAAATGATGCAGCAGTGTTTAGAATTAAAGTTATATTATCGAGGCTATCAAGGTATGCATCGATTTCGCCAGCTGATAAAATGTAGCTCGGATTCGATGATAAATTTGAATTCGCAATTGAACTGAAATAGAATGAGAGGGCATAGGCTACAGAAGTCGCATTCATCGTCCTGTTCCGTAGGATATTAACGGCATATATCTGTATGTGAAAAAAAACTGAATTCAGAGAAGTAGTTCATTCTTTTCTATCATACCTGAGCATTAGTTTTTGACATACAAGTACCATTAGGTAACTGTATTTCCACCGAATAATTACAACTGACATTTGTGCTAGTACTAGTAGTCGTTGTAGTAGAAGTCGTCGTTGTAGTAGAAGTAGTCGTTGTAGTAGAAGTCGTCCTTGTAGTAGATGTAGTCAGTGTAGTGGAAGTAGTCGTTGCAGTGAAAGTAGTTATATCTGAAAAAACAAGTACTGTAGTAGTGAGTTCTGTTATCAAAAAGCTATACGTGATTGCAAAAATACCCGTGATATTAGAAGCTGCTGTTGTTATCGAATTATTGGTAGTTGCAGTAACGATCGTTGCCGTCGAAGCAACTATTGATGTAGCAGCTTCTATCATTAATGAAGTATCCGTGGTTATAGAAGTAGGCATTGTTGTAGGAATAACAGTTATTATGGGAGTATCCATTGTAGCCGAGGTAGTTGTTGTTGTAAAAGCAGTCATTGTTGTAAGCTCAGTTACTGTTCTTGAAAAACTTACAGTTGTAGTTGTTTCTGTTGTTGCCGAGCTATTTGTTATTGCCAAAGTAACCATTGTAGTAGAGGTAGTCCCTGTTGTAGACAAAGATATTGATGTAGTAGTTTCTGTTGTTGTAGAGTTTTCCAATGTTGCAGCAGTTTCCATTGTTGTAGAAACAGTTATTGATGTAGCAGCCTGTGTTGCTGTTGAAACGGTTTCTGTTGTAACATTTTCTGTTGGTGTAAAGGCATTCGTTGTTACGAAAGTAGCTGTTGTAGACAAAGATACTGATGTAGTAGTTTCTGTTGTTGCAAAGGTATTCGTTATTATGAAAATAGTTGTTGTATTAGAAGTTGTCGTTGTTCCAGAGCTAGTTATTGACGTAATAGTTCCTGTTGTTGTATCGTTTTCCGTTGTTGCAGTAGTAGTGGCTGTTGTAGAAAGAATTATTGCTGTAGCAGTCTCCGTAGTTAGTGAAGTAGTTACTGCTGTAGTAAAACTGTCGGTTATTATGAAAATGGCCGTTGTTGAAGAAGTATCAGTAGTTAGAGACGCTGTTGTAGCGATTGTGGAAAGTAGCGAAGTTTGACTGATATTTGCTAGATCTAAATGAATTGTTAATGAAACTGATAAGCTGGTGTCGGTGTAACTATGAGTCGAAAATAATACCTAACGAAAGTAATCGAGTCAGAGCTGGGCATTTCCATGGAAACAATTCAATTTGGGACCCCTAAGACTGTCCACGTAATTTGTGAATTCCCTAGTAATTCACAAATTATGTGGAAAGTTTTAGGGGTCCCAAATTGAATTGTTTCCATGGAAATGCC